CATTTTGTAGCTTGTTTTCAATAAGTATATAACTTGTCCAAAGAGGTTGTATTCTACAGTGTGCCTGAATGTAATCACTGCGTAGGTGTGATTCTGTGTAGTTTATTTATGGCATCCCGTTGGATTTGACGTCATCTGAACAGGACATCGCACGCTCACTGCTTGATAGCACGCAAAGGTCCGTTTATGCCGGTTGTTACAACATCGTTTTGGGGAAATGCAAGTTTGCGTCCAAATGGTTGGAAGATAAGGAGGAAGGACAATCAATACTGTATATAGTCAATGTGAGGTAAAGTGTGTCGCCAATGTAACCGGTTAGAACTCCAAGTGGCGATGAGGTCTTAAAATGTATGGAAAGGGTCTTAAAAAAGGTCTTAAAAGGTTTTGCATCTGACTTCAGGATTCCTGCATATACCCTGATATAGCATCTTCCTACATTAATGCAATGCAATGTGCTTTACGTAAAAAAACAGGACAAAGACGGGATGTAAAAGAAACAAATGACATACATAAAATAGAATTCAACCGTAGATTAAAATGTTGATACAAAATGAGTATGAATTAATAATCCCATATCCAATTTAAAGGCTCCTCAAGCTTTTAACCATCTTAACATTTTCCCATTGTGTTTTGATATGCTACAAGACATATTAATTAAATAAGTAGTCAAAGCTATATCACACTGTTTAAGCAGTGTGACAAAGACCATCTAAGAAACAAAAGCCATCATATTGCTGAAAGGGGCTTCCCATATCGTTTGCGTCAAGCTACAGCCAAACAAGGCATATCAGAGGAGAAGAAAATAACATAATATCCCAGCCAAACTTCCAGAGAAAACTATGGTTTTCCGTAGCTATTTTCCAGAGCGCTGTCTTGGAAATTATACTCAAGAACAGATTGGTTTTGCCACAGAAACTATATAGAAACCTGATGCTGTTTCACCCCGGGAACACAGTTCCAACATGTTGGCCGAACAGTAAGTCTCAGTCAGAATAATTTGCATATTCATAGATACTCGCATATTTATGGGGCAGATGTGAATAGTTGAATCTACGGAAGAGGATTAGAGCAGCATGATTTTTTTTTGGAGGATATATATTTTTTTTTTCAGAATTCTGACTTTAAGCTCAGAATTCTGACTTTAAAGTCAGAAATACCGGTAACTGTAGAGAACAGGCTTCAGTGAGAGACTTACACATTGCAGTAGGCAACAATGGAGGACGTGAGTGAATTTCTGCACACCAGAGGGGTCCAAGAGGAAACTGGTTACTTTGCAGCCCGGACATTTCCCCCAAAACACATTTAGACGCGATCGCAACACAGAAGTACCTTTCAAATCCGATCATTTTTAAGATCTTCTAAATCTTATTTAAGACCTTTCTTATTTTTCTGATCATATTTAAGACTTTTTAAGGCCTTAAATTCTGATTATCAAATTTAAGACTTTTTAAGACCCCGCGGGAACCCTGTTTTACACTCAGTAACGTTAACGTTAGAGACTGACATGATACGCAGCAACACATACTAGATAAAATTAGCAACATTGTCCTGCTGTTTTAATCCCCTTCAGACAGTACAGCAGGATTCATATTCATATGCTGATTATTCTGTGATTATGGAGTAAAAGGACAATGGCCCAAACCCCTGCGGTAACACTGCTACAGTACAGAGAGGGGTTATACTGGGCACATTTTGGATATATATAATTAGCAACTGCCTCCTTGCGTTGTACTTTGACCACTGACCTCTAAACTGTTACAGGCAAAATAATCTGAAGTATTGACGGCAAAAAAAAAGAAGGTTGGGCGATTTGTTTTTCCCCGCCAGGGAGCTGAGCGGTAGCTGTCAGGCTCTCAGCTAGCTGCTAGCTTAATTACATCTCTACAGAAACATGAAAACCACCAGGCTGTTGCTCTTGGTTAGTCACTGTTCCAACAAGCACAAACTTGCGTGTCAACAAACTAAACCATTATTTACTGAATTAGATGGGGGGAGGGGGGAGAGCATATCAACTAATGCACTTGCTGCTAGCTCATCATTGTCTGCATTTCACATTCTTATGGTTTCCTCTTGGACCCCTCTGGCGCGCAGACATTCACTCACGTCCTCCATTGTTGCCTACTGCAATGTGTAAGTCTCTCACTGAAGCCCGTTCTCTACAGTTACCGGTAGTTCTGACTTTTTTCTCCCAATTTCTTTTTTCCCCCTGAGATTAAAGTCAGAAATCTGAGATTAAACTCAGAACCAAAAAAAAATCCTTTTCAAATCCTCAAAAAGAAAAATCATGTGGCCCTAATCCTCTTCCATATGAATCCAAGACAAATGTATCAGACATTTTTTTCAATATTAATAAAAAAAAATATGGGTCTATTGTTTTAATCATGCCAGGGGAGGTGCTTGTTTACTGCTATATTGTAGCGTGCTCCCATCATCCCTTGTTGGTTTTGTATTAAGGCAGTAAATGCTTTATTATTACCACTCTGCTCTGCATAGTAGAAATAATTATAATGCTGATTAATCCAATGTGGCCGATGATGATGCTAATTATGCCCAGAACCTCTCAACTGCTGGACAAATGTGCTGCTTCTGAGTTATATTCGGAAAATTCCTCATTATGTTCAACAGGGATGTGATTAACAAAGCTTAACTTACCGGTTTCTGTTATGTATACTTCCTGTTTGTCATGCCATGCTTTAATGCAGCCTGCGGTTTGCTCTCAGTTAAGGTTTCTCTGCCAGTTGTTGCATGCATGAGTGACTACTGGCGATCCAATGTCAACATCCTCACACGTAAAACCCTGGGTTTCCTCATGTTTCCTGTTGTTGGTTGGGGTTTTTCTTCTCACTCCTAACGAGCAGTTTCCTCATTAAAGCACCGAGACCCTTAGTCTATAACACTTCAGTTTGACTCATTGCTCTACAGGCAACTCAGTGTTTGAAGTGTTACATTATCTTTGTGTAAATGGAATAATGTCTAACAGCAACACAAAAACATCTGTATCTCCTCTCACAGACCGTTCCTCCTGACCCATTTAACGGCTCTCACCTCCTAATTAGTCTGGAGCAGCGTGTTTATGCTGTTATGATTTCTTTTTTAATTATTTGTCTTAATGTTCTTGCATTGTTGCCTGTGTTTACTTGTAGTTAATGAGGCGTCCAGCTCCTCAGATGAGGAAACTGGTGAGGTTAAAGTCAGCAGGGATCTACTTAAGGCGAAAGGAAAGGAAATCACTGGGATATTTTATGGTTGTGGCGTGGGAGAAAAAACTCCCTCTGGAGGGAACACAGGGATTTTAGCCTTTGCAGACCATTTACATGCACAAATATAATATAGATAACACACAACAGGAAAGAGAAAACCCCAAGAAGCATAATAGAGCCTCTTTAAAATCAAAAAGCATAAGAATAGTAGAAAAATGGAAAAGGACAAGGGAGAGTTTGAGCCAAAACGAAAATCAATGTGCAGAGGAACAAAGGAAGGAGAGAAGGACAAAGAGAGGAAAGATGTGGGAAGAATAAGAGAGCAAGCATGACATAAAGGAAAGGAAGGAGGCAAATTGGAAGGAGAGATGGCAGAGGAAGATCCCCAGCAGGGATTTCAACAGGCTGTTCCTGAGGAGAACAGAAATATCTGCGCATCACGCTGTGGACCCTCCACCTGCTGCTCCTCCAGCTTTATAATTAGCCCCGGTTGGAGGGAAAGCGATAACATGCAGGTTTCCTTTTAGGCCACAGGAAAAACTGAAGATGATGGCTGTCCTCTGCAAAAATGTAGATTTGTTTCATTTCAAAGTCGAATAAAAGTCTGGTTTTAGATATATTTTATTAGTTTCTCTAGCTTAAGGCAGGTATAAATGAAGTGCTCCGTGGTGTGGAGTGTGTCAGCCTTCTGATATTTGTACAGTTTATCACTAAGCAACATAAACACAGCTCAGATTGAAGTGGTTCTTCAGATGAGTCGTTCCGAGGGGAAATCTTCTTTGCTGAAGCAGTTCTAAAAACAGATTGTACTGAATCAGACGACATAAAGAACAATGAGTGGGAATAGATATTATTGCTATAAAGGAAGGTCACAGAGAAACTGGGGCCATATTTTGCAAATATATATATATATAGTTTGTTATATTGTTAAAACAGGTGCAATGTGAGGACAAATACAATCAATGCCTCCCTTAAAATAATGTTTTTGCATTAATTTGGTTTAAATTCTGTTCTTTTTAGGTGGAACATGTGCTAGAAATATGAAATGGAACATCCAGACTCTTTGTGTTATCATCGTTTCCACGGCTGGAAAATGTCCCCTCTCTCTCCTCTCCTGACTTTTTATCATACCAGCTGTTTATTTTCTCTGCTAGCATTTCATCCTGTTCCCGTGCGGCTTGTTTTCTGATCAAAAACGGCCACATTTGTGCCTCCCAGCATGCAACTGGAAACGCTCCTCCTGATCATACACTCATTTTTTCCCAAAGGGCGAAAAGTCGTAATATTCACGCATGAACATTAGACAGCTCCACTAACACAATGTGAACGGGGTGAAATGCAAAAAAGGGCACTCTAATTACATTTTCGCCCCCACGCTCACACTCAACTCCTTCATTTTTTATTTCCTATCTTCTTTATAACCTCTGAAGGGTACTTACCCCCTGAGGCTGGTTCATGCTGACCCTTCTGTAGCATATCATTACTGTTGACTATGCACATTTTTTAAGAAGATAATAATGAAATGTAAGATTGGAAAGGTTGTGGTCACGCTCTGATGCTGTTGTTAGTCACATGTGGAGGATGCTGCAGGAGATGAAACGTTTCCACCTGCCCTGCAGCTCTCACCGTCACCACTACACCGCTGTTTATTATTTTTCATCATTTTAAAGGAAGTGGGGCATATGAGATCAGATCCAGCCTAGATTTCCCCGGAGGAAAGTCGTGTGTCACGCAGAGGAAAATATAAAAAATACTCAACGCCCGCCCGCTCACAAAAAACAATATTTCCTGTTTGTGCAGATCGGCAACTCCAACCCCCTGCCGGTGCCCGTGGGAAACCCCGCCGGCGGAAGAGCAGTGTTGGTGGAGAGCGGGCCGGTGGTGTACGATGATGCTGCCGCCGCTGCTGCTGCTGCTGAGGAGGAGGAGGAGGATGAAGAGGAGGCGTGTGTCAGCGCCTTCGATCTGCTGGGCAGCAACGGTCAGTTTACACACACACACGCACGCACGCACGCACACACACACACGCACAAACACACACACACACACAAACACAAACACAGAGAAAAACACATACACACAAATCTCAGTTGGTCTATCACTTGCACGGAAAACTTCCCCCCTTGCTTTTTCCTCCTTCTAAATACACTTACTTATCTTCTCCTCTTACTCTCTTGAAACAGTCTTTTAAGAAATGTACATTGTTACAGCAAAAGTGAAGATGGAGACAAAAAATAAAACACGATTAGATAAAGAGCAGGCACAAAATATACACTTATTACAAAGTAATTCCAATTTACAAGATACATTCTTATAGAAAATTGCAGATGGTTTGCAATCATTACGTATTAATGATCTATTCATGAGCTTTTGATTCATTTCTACTTCTGTCAATTCACAAATCTATGTATTGTTTAGTTTCTTTGCCTTGAAACTAGGCCGAAGAATGTTCCCAACAGTTAAGGAGTAATATACATTTTGACTTTAGAGTCTTTTATTCAAATCAATTCTTCACCTACTGAGATTGTTTCATTATTTTCACATTTGAATCTCGTTGACACTCGCAGTGGCAGACTGCTCTGTCACCTCTCAGTCCGACTCAGTGTCTGGACTGTGAAATAGTTTGAATGACTTTTGTTTAATGAATCTTCCTCTGAGGGTCACGGCTCTGTTTGGCTCCTGGCAGGTTTTAATGAGACCTCGGTAAGATTGAATTTCTTCTGCTTTACGTTTCTGGCTGTTAAAATGTAAGGTCCCTGACTCCGCCGCAATAAAAAAAGTCCTGAGCTGCTTAATTGATTCCTGTAGGGAAGCTCTTTGTTTGTACTCCTGCCCACCTCCACGGGGGGGGGGGGGGGGGGGGGGGGTCAGAGGTCATGGTCACGCTCAGAGCTGCACCTCTGGAGCCAGCAGAGACTGAGGACAGTTAAATTACATGATGGATTACTCCTCCTGCAGAGACCCAGGCTACACCTCTCACATTGTGCTAGTAGAAGTCACGCAACACGTGCAGAACGTCTTTGTGGACTTTACTTAAAGTGGTCCTAATATGCATTATTCTCCCACAAACCCCCTGCATGAATCCCCTCCTTTGGACTCCTTTGTTTACTTCTGGAACATGGTGATATCACTATATTACACTCGCGCTTATATTGGATAGTGCTCCAACACATTGTACTTGATAGGCTAAGGGAAGGGACATCTCTAAGCGGTTGACCAATCACAACAGAGAGAGCCAGCTGAGCAATCAGAGCAGACTGGGCTCTGGTTTCAGACAGAGGGTGTTTCTCAATCTCGAGTAAAGCTGCTCCAGAGCCACTATTTCAAGCATACTACGTCATCGAGTCCCGCCGAAGGACTGTTCCAATGTCCAGCATACTTGGAATTCTACCGAGCCCGGCGTACTTCGTTTGGAGAAATGTCGAGGCTGCACATGTGTAGACTCTGCGGTCTTAAAATCCCCACAATGCTTTGCGCACGGACCAATTTCCCTAAATCTGTGGCAGTAGAGGCACAAAATACCAATTCGAAAAAATAAGTAGTCAAATATAACAAAATACTAAAAAATAAAATATTGGGATATAAAGTTGAGAGCAGTGAAGATATTAAAAGAGGTAGCTTGGGACACAAATGTGCAAAATATACAGTTATGTTCGTGGTTCACATTTTTAAAATGATTTCTTCAGATAATGAACATTAAAGTAATGCATAATGTTAATGAAGGGGGGGGGGAGAGTCAGTGTCATCATATATAATAGTTAACCATGTTTTCTCTCTCACTTTACAGAATACGGCAGTGATGGAGATTATGATGATTGATGCAGGCGGAGGTCTTCCCTGGGTTTTACTCCACTGAACGTACAGACAATTTAGGTGTATCAGATGTTTACTACAGGGACACAGAGTGGCTACATCTACAGAGAGGAGCTGTGTGGCCGGGAGGAATGAGAATCAGGAGACAATTGTACGTGTGCACATAAAATCAAAAGCTGGGGAAAATCCCACTGCACAGTGCATGGATGCTGACGAAGATGGTAAAGTAGAAATTGAGGGATACAAGTGTATTCATTATTCTGGGTCGCAGGCTGCCTGTTATGGTAGTTCTGCTAAATCAAATGGTGGAAATATTCCACGTTTGTTGAGTCGCAGGACATTCAGGGTAAAGCTTGGATACTGGATTCCCTCAAATTGTTGTTTCAACAATGGCTATTTAAATGTAGTGAAGACATACTTGACACTGCATTATAGTCATTTAAACAATAGTAATGTACTGAAGACGTCTGAGACAACATCACTATAAACTGAATTAAGCCTGGTATTAAACTCGATGTCTTTTGTCCCGCTAAATATCAGAACAGTGTGTGTATGAGACTCATTCAGGATGATTTCTGTATCTGAACAACGGTGTGTCCTCGGGTTTAAAACTTTTCCACTTTGGTTGGTTGAGGTAAAATGTAGCAAAAACTAAATGTGGAAATGATAAAAACATGTTATCCTCAAACTCGCACTTTGCATTCATAACACTTGAATACTTCCTTATTAACTTATTCCGTCTCAACGCTAATAACCTATATCGTCTTTCAGCAATGAATTAAAAACATCTGATCAGGTAGCATGAGATCAATATTAATGCCTTAGCTAGTATTACAAAGATGTTGCCTTGAAACAATTGAAGGTTATGTGCCAATCTTTGCTGAGTGTTATCAAATCCCAAAATAATGACATTTAAATGTCAGATCAAGTTAGTTTTTTGGAATTTCATGGTTTGGTTATTTTTAAAGTTGGAAGTAATTTCATTTTGGGCTTTCCTTAATTGTTTTTGGAATATATTGAATTGTCTATGATAAATTACGAGATTGTGTCATTTGATTTATGTTAAATATTGTTCACAATTTCCTGCCATAGAAGCGTTTAGAGCCAGGCTGTTAATGCTTTCTCTGCTATATTATATTTTCCAAATAAGTGAGGGATCCCAATAAGAGAATAGATCTATTTTTCATTTTAGATTTTAAGATTTTTCTGTTGGAAAATGATAGTTGATAGGTGATATAGACCGTGGCCTTTTCACTTTGTCCACACAACAGTATTTACAGTAATGAGGTGTCTCCGTTACCTCGACTGCCTCTGTGTTGCTGCTACAAATCATTGTGTTACATCTGCTGCTATAGTAAAGAATTCACTACATTGAAAGAAATGGTTTGTTGTTCATTTTTTGTCAAAAAAACATTTGTAATCTTCTTTATATGCGCTTATATACGCTAAAATGTTAGGTTTTCCAAAAATACCCCGTCTATAAACATGTCTTCTCTTAAAAAACATAAATCCTCACTTTCAAAAGCTGTTGAGGCTTTTTTTTTTTTTTTTTTTTAAATGTCCTGACTTTTTCTCTTTTTGATTTATAGAGGTGCGAACTATTCAAAATGGCCTCATACCCCATTGCTAGGAGACCAGTGTGCTAGCCAGCTAATTAGCCTCTATATGATTTATTTAACTACCATCACCATCCATCCATCCATCCATCTTCTCCCGCTTATCCGTGGTCGGGTCGCGGGGGTAGCAGTTCCAGCAGAGAGCCCCAAACTTTCTTTTCCCTGGCGACATCAACCAGCTCTGACTGGGGGATCCCAAGGCGCTCCCAGGCCAGCGAAGAGATATAATCCCTCCACCTCGTCCTAGGTCTACCCCTTGGTCTCTTCCCAGCTGGACGTGCCTGGAACACCTCCCTAGGGAGGCGCCCAGGTGGCATCCTAACTAGGTGCCCGAACCACCTCAACTGGCTCCTTTCGACTACCATCACATTGTAGGAAATTACATTGTCCTGAAACTAGTCCCCTAACACTCTGAACATTCAAATATAGCACAATAGGAATACAGACACAAGGTTTATTGAAGTTAAAGTGTGATATTGTTGTTAAACACTAAAAGACACTGAATACAAGTGTCTGAAGAATGACAGAATCTTAGAGCTTTTATACTCTCTTTCAGAATATAAACATTCTCTGGACATTTGAATCTTATGTCACAAGCTTACATCCTTCACTTAGTTTTCCACATTTTTAAACTGTAACATTCTTTGGCCGGAAACACTGCTAGCAGAAAGAGATAATCATAATACCAAGGTTATCCTCTAGAAAAACCAAATGATAAAATCAAACACTTACAAGTATTGATTATATGGTCAGCAACAATTACTTCTACAGAAATGTCTAGCCAACTATTGAGTCATCCAAGGAGAAAACTGTGGGACAAATAATTCAATCAATCAATCAATGTTTATTTATATAGCCCAATATCACAAATGTTACATTTGTCTCAGTGGTCTTCACAGTGTGTACAGAATATCAGTATGACAATACGACACCCTCTATCCTTAGACCCTCACATCGTACAAGGAAAAACTTCCGGAGAAAACCCACAGTTTAAAGGGAAAAATGGGAGAAACCTCAGGGAGAGCAACAGAGGAGGGATCCCTCTCCCAGGACGGACAGACGTGCAATAGATGCCGTGTATAAATTGACAAGATAATACATTTACAACATAGGTAGTCCAAATGTTTGGAAATGCATGTGTGTATAATGGGAAGATGAATCCACGAGGATATCCATCCAGGACCTATGATCCAGGACCACAGCCACGACTCAAGATCCAGGACACAGGAGCGCAGGATCATCCATGACTCCGGATCCCGGCGTATATAGACACCAAAAAGAAAGAAATGTGGGGAAGCTGGGTTTATCGGAACATGAGAGTACACAGGTATAGACAGAGAGAAGGAAGAAGTAAGATGTCCGTTTCCACAATTGAACGTTTCCACAACATGACATACAATTTAGGAACTGTTTGAGGTTAACCTTTGTCAAACCAACATTTGAATATTTAAACAATGTATCAATGTACACCTAAAGGTCTGTTTCCAAACTCAAAACAATGCAAGGATGTTGCATTGTTTTGATTTTGGAAACAGACCTTTAGGTGTGAACCCGTCTAATAGGACTTTAATACAGAGGGAAACGTATGTCAAGGTATAGTTTAACTTTGTGTTTCTCTTTTTTGTTGATTTGATCACGTAAATACTATCTTTTGCTCACTCTTTGCTTTCATCTCAGTCCTTTAGTGTGGAGTTTTCCGAAATCCCGTTTGAATTAGGTTTTGTTGTCTTATTTTCTTCATGTCAGTGTAGAATGAACTTGGCATGAACTGTATTTATGATAAAAAATCAGCATCAGGTCTAATCATGACTTCACACCATCATCAGGGCTGCTTTTGATCAGACGAGAGGCTTCACTGGTGATGCGGGATCATTTATCGCCTGCTGAGTATTAGCAGCACAGTACAGTTTTCTGCTGGTATTGTTGTTTCCAGACATATTAGGTGTCTCTGGGTGTGTGTGAAGAGGTTCTTTAGAAATATGACTCACTGCTCGAAGTTGAAGGGAATCTAAGGAGGCGCTTACGTCAGATGATGTATGCCGAGCCTTTACACGCCATGATTTCTCTTGTTGGGGCGAAATTGTGTTTCCAAAAGGGGATTTTGTTTCAGCATCAGATAAGAGATGCAATCTGATGTTTATTTGGAAATGCTTTGGGACTTTCAGAGCTGAAAGCCAAACGTATGGGATATATATCGGACTATAGTATTTCTCTAAATAATGAGACAACCTGACAAAAAGCTGTTGTAGTCTAAGTGTCGTTTTCTTCCTCTAAGATATGATATTATGTTCTATTTTCAATAGGTTTGTTTTCACAATATGAAATGAGTAATGATAGAAATGTGAACATCATCGGACTGTGTAAATCTGATGGGAATAAGTTTGACAATATTTAATGATTAACTTCAGCATAGATATTTAGTTTTCTAGATTTAAACTTTATGAAAATGAACAGGCACTAAATACTGTATCAGGATGTCTTTGGGCTGGACTATGGTATACTTAGTGAGAGCAGTAATACAGTTTTATGGAGAGATTGTCAGTCATTTCGGAGGCTGCATCTTCCTCAAGTTGAATTAAACACATTAAAGCTGCAATACTTTTAAAACTACGAATACATTTACTTCATAGCTGACAATGTTCTAAATGTTGCAGTATATATTGGTTTTGGAGAACATATTAGACATCTGATTAAAGTTAAATGACGCAAGTCGATAATTAATGGGTAAAATCTTTAAAGACAACCTCCTTCATTTGTTTTAATCTCATCCAACTCCTTTCAGCTGTGACGCTGAACTAAATGAGTAAACATAACTGAGGCTCTTCTTTGAATATGTCCTAACCTTTAACTGTCCCTTTCATTCACACACAGCGAAGGACCTTGTTTTAAAAAAAGAAAAAAAAGAAATCCCAAGATTCAATAAGCATGACCGGTTCATTTGAAGTGCGGCTAAATTCGTTTTAACAGATTATTGTAGCGTGAAAATGTCAAGAGCTGTCTCAGGGAATGATCGTCCGTTCATACAGCCCAACATCTGAACCAGTTGAAACACGTTGTCGCTTCTGGCCTTTTGGAAAATAAAGATTTGGGGAAACTATTCAATTACACTTCCTATGACCCTCCGTCGTGTCCCGTTTCAGGACGACTTTTCTCCTAACGACCAGGGAAACAATTTCATGCTTTATGATGCTCTGTAATTGTGCTGTCAGGTCATCCTCTCATGCCTCTCTTGCAGTTTTCCACCCACCCCGAGGCTCGACTGTACCCACGCAGCTTTTCTTTCCGGTGCAAACTCCCGCCCTACACTTAGAAGTTCAACACAGCTCCATCTTCCTCCGACACCAAACTTTTACAGTAACCCTTACATTGAGCAGTTGGAAAGCAACTGTTAGTTACTCAAGTAGTGCTATTAAAGAACCCTACTGTGCTAATTTCCATATAAGTATTGTGTGTCTCTACTGTGACATGTCTCCATGCTTTAATGTACAAATAGTTCTTTATTATTCTCATCGTGCCTGTGCTGCAGCCCCTCTTTTCACCCTCCGTCTGAAACCAGAGCCCAGTCTGCTCTGATTGGTTAGCTGGCCGGCTCTGTTGTGATTGGTCAACAGCTTAGAGATGTCCCGGCCCTTAGCCTATCACGTACATTAGGCTACATGTCACACGTCTTTGTTAGACGCTTTTATCCGAAGCGATTTACATACATTCAGTACTGTGAGCAATCCCCGCAGGAGAAATTTGGGGTGAAGTGTCTTGCCCAGGGACACAACGACATGCTGACTGCAGTGGGACTCAAACTTGCTACCCCCTCCTGATTCGAAGTCCATCACACTAACCACTGAGCCACAGCCTCCCACTTACAATGTGTTGGAGCGCTAGCCAATAGAAAAGCGAGTGTTATAGTGTTCCAGAGTTCCAGAGTTCAATGGAGGCGTTTCAGGCAGGAGGGGGGGGGGGGGGAGTTTATTAAAATGATAAAGATATAAATGGATTTCAGATTATATAATTTTCCTTTAATATATTATCCTGAAATGAAATCCTTATCAAGGAGTTATTTTAGTTTTGGAGCTTTAAGTATAGAATGATGCTACTTTTGTAATTGTATTTCAGTAGAATAATGAATGCAGGAATCTTACTTATACCAAAGAATTTCTACACTGTGGTATTACTACTTTGACTTCCTACGGATCCGAGTGCTTCTTCCACCTCTTACAGTGAGGGAGGAGGTATAACAAGCTGAAGTGGGCTGTTTTCAGTGTTTGTGACCTTGCTGCCCTTCCTCAGCGAGAGAGCCACCGGCCAAAAAGGTTCCCTGCGCCTGTGAAAAATGTCCTCTATGCAAGTTGATGAAATGGGAAGTCACAGGGTGTTGAGCTGAGCCAGATTTTCTTCTTTTTTTCCTTTTTTGCTCCAAACGTGACTGCAAGGAGACATTAAAAAGAGAAGCGAGTCCATCTCCTCTTCCTCCTTCCCTTTAGCCTCGCCTCCTGTTTCCGTCACTACAAAGACACTTTTTTCCTGAGGTGTTTTTTCCTGTCTCTCTCTTTTTCCCTCCTTCCTCCTCTCCTCTATAACTTTCACCTTTGTCACGCTTTGTCGCCCTCTTCCCACCCAACTGTCCTCCCTCCATTTTCAGTCCCTTCCTCCCATGAGCTTCTTTCTTTTCCCCCTCCAATAAATGAACCTCTCTTCGATTCCTTTCACTCTTCCCTTCCTTGTCCTTCATTCAAACTACTTTGGTCCCTCTCTTTATTTCCGCACACCC